TGAGATCATCGAGTCAGTATCCAATCAAATCAGGGTATGAACCCAGGACTCTTATTTCACAGTCTGTGCTCTTCTTGTACCCTGCTGCTGCTTCCTGATGAGACTGCCACAGTACACCGTGCAATTAGGCACTGTTCACATCTTCATCAGGAAGAAGTGGCACCTGAGAATTCTGCAGGCTAGCAGCCCTATCTCCCGAAAGGAGAACCATGACCTTAGTCTAGCAGGCAACTGTTGCAAAGAACTGAAGCGGGCCTAAGTTGGTGGTGCTGGGAAGGAAGCCACAGATTAATGATTGACAGAATTGACAAGGGTGTGGAATTAAAAAGATAGGAGCTGAGGCTGTCCCGAAGTTCTAGCCTAGACCCCCAGAAGAAGAGTAACACATCTACTGGATCAGGAGTGCAAAGGAAAAGGGACTGTTGGGCACGGAACAGAAAGCTCACAGCATGCCACCCACTTCCCCTCCTTCTTGTCTGACCTAGGTTAGGAGATAGATACTGCCCAAGGATCCTGTCTGGACACATGCTTCGGTTTCTTGATTTTTCTCCTTGAAGTCAGGCTCAGGAATGGATTCTGGACCATTCAAACTCTTATGCTTGGGGTTCTACCTGACCAATCTTATGCTCTAGGTTGATGAACTAGAACTTGGCTGTTTAGTACAGGCTGTGTGTGTCCCTGCTCCTTATAGAGGACACTTCTTCCCTGCTCCCTCGCAGGGTCACAGGTCAGCAGTCTGGTGCCCTCACCCAACCCAAACACTTGGTATTATAGTTGCACATCGTTTTGCATTTGTACCCTATGTGGTGTGAGCCGCTGTTGTCCCATTCCTGACCAGGGTAACCTCATCCTCCCACTCCTTCGCTTCCTCTTCCCTCCCTCCAATGCTGCCATCTTCCTGGGCCCTATTCTCTATTCACTGCCCCAGCTTCCTGACCCAGTAGGCAAACAGGCTGTAGATCCATGGGAAATTTCCTGTTGGAGATCAGGGCATTGAAAATACCATATCTGTCAGAGAAATCCAGGAGCCCTGAGCGCAGCCTCACCACCTGTGGTGACCACTCAGAGTAGTCCTCAGGTTATTATCCATGAAGCAGTCTGTCATTCCAGGGTAACATCTCCTTGTCTTCACTTGTGGCAATGGCCTTACCTTTAACTATAGTTATCTAGATTCTTACATACAATTATATACTCGAACATGGGTGCATGTGTGCATGTGTGCACGTGGACATTTTTCAGTTCTTTAAATAAGTGATAAAACAACCTGTTATGAATTTGTCTTTCAGGACACAATAATAATATTGCTTCTCAGCATTTTGACTAAGATCAAGTGCAGAATATAGTAATGCAACTTCCAGAGGTCAGTAAGGGGCTGGTACAAGTGTTACACATGTTCATATACCTTCTGGAGGTATAAGACTGATTAGTGATAGACGTGGCAGTAGCGAGGACTGCAGGCATACAGATATCTTCAGTCAACAGCCCTTCAATCAGCACTGTCACAGAAGCTTCTAGAGATCAGATATTGTGCTAGGGGCAGCGTGGGGCTCAGAAGTGAGGCAGGCATATCTTTACTTTCCAGCAACATGCAGCCCTTTGGAGGGAGAGTTTCACACATGGGAAAAAGCAATGATGACAAAAGCTGACACAAAGCCATGCACAGAGAGATGGAAGATTTGGTGCTGGTCTTTGTCCATGCACTTGGCTTCGGCACTCAGCCATTTGCCGTTACTTCATGATTCGCCTGGTGCTTCACCCTGTTCTGCTGGTGTCAGGATAATGGGAATCAACTCACACTGGGGCATTCATAGGACATCCCTTCCTGGGACACTTCTAGGAACCGGATCAAGAACTCTATAAACCTCTTCCTTCCTTGGTACTCCTTTAAATAATTTTATAAAGGTCTTGGCTGGCTAGACTAGAGGGGCATACACAGGAACCTGAATGAACTGCTTATATATTCTTAGCTTGAGATGCAGTTCACAGTTACAGCAGCAGGAAGTACATGAGTTTTAATCCCTTCCAATCCTACATCTGTTAATTATATGAAAAACCTATCTTAACAAAATGTCTCCCCTAATTGATTTGGAATTTGTAGTACACATTTCACCATGTGCATTTATAGCAGCATTTCCCAGACTATGTTGTAGAGAACACTACTGTGAGACATTCAGAGGTTTTATGGTAAAAGTAGTGTTTCCATGATCAATGTGTCTAGAAGGTTTTCGGGTTAGATAAAATTAGCTAAACTGTTCACAGCAGGAGTTCTTTCAGCTTTTAATGTGCCAGTGTTTGCTATGAATTTTGCAAAGGCAAATGCAGCATGCAGAGATTCCTAACCTGATGTCTCATCTTACTTAACATGGCCTCTTATTTTCATGAAATGTCTTAATATTTTGGGGAACCTGAGGTCTTGTGGAACACTCATGAGAAACGCTGTCTTGGGAGGCTTTCACTGTGTATAAATTGGTGGTGTTTAGCTGTTTTCTATGTGTTTTTTTAAATACCTTTAAACAGCGGCAGGCCAGGCTAAGTTTAGATATAAAGAGCAGTTTCCTAACTGTAAGAATGCTTGCAGGGTAAGACCCTAGAGTATCCCGGAAAATTGCTGTAAAGGAACTTGCCAATCCCTTTCTTATCCTTGCACAAGATTTCCCATGAGTTCATATAAATAGAATGAATCATCAAGGAAGTTCCTGGATCTTTTTATCTTAAGATGCCTTTGAAAGTAGGAAATAGGATGTAGTCAAGGGCTAAGCGGATAGGAATTAAAAGGCAGGAAGGCAGAGTGTCTAACTTCTGGATAGACTGTCTCGAAGTGTCTGCAGTTAGCTCCTTCATTCTTACTCTGCCCACGGTGTGCATTTAAAGGACCTAGCTTAGTTTTCCATGCCATGTGGAACTAAGGCAGAGGGGGTTTCAGAAACTATCGTACATTGAGCACTTGTTATGTGCTGCATCTGATGCCAAATCTTTGCATAAATTTTGCTTGTTCCTTGAAGCAGCCTGGGAGGTTGCTAGTATTATTGCTCTTATTTTACACATATGGATCCGAAGCTCAGAAATGCTGAAGAGCCATACATGACTTTAAGTCATGACAGCGTGACTCTGTGTCTTGTCACCTCACCCTTTGCAAATGCATCTCTTCTCATTAGCCATCTGCCCCTCGTACCTGCTGCTAGCCCACAGTGCAAGGGCAGCTGCCCTGGGAAGAGGACAGAGCGTAGGATCAGCTTATGAATCAGTACATCCTCTGGCACATCCATTTCCCCCTACTGAGAGCGGGCAGGATCCAGAATATACTTACTCCCATCCAGCTCTACTTTATCAAGGGGTTGATGGCTCCAGAGGAGTCTTTGCCGCTCCAGTCCACAAGCTGAAGCTAATGAGTTTGGGCTCTGGGCAGGTGGGCTGAGACTGTAGCCTGGTGTCTTGGCAAAGATAGTGGTCAGAGGAGACCCATGTGCTAGGGGAGGTATGTCTTCAGAAAAGGAGACCACCTGACGGAAAGCTGGGTTTCCACCTGGCCAGAAAGTAAGCCCAAGGTCCTTACCATCTGTCCTGCTAAGCTGAGTGGCAGATAGGTTAGTCCTAGTGCCTGTAACCACTCTGTGTGCTGGGCATGCAGAAATGTGTGTGAGCATGTACAGTGGGTGTGTGATGAATATCACTTCAGTGTAAAAGATGGTCTGGCCCATATTTGAAGGCATTTGTCTAGGAGTGGAGACCAGCAACCTGTACAATCCATGCATACCCTCTTGCCTAGTTTCCCTGTTTAAGGCCAGTGTAGACCTTGGAGGTGCCAGGGTCTCAAGTCACAAACTCTGCTTTGCTCAGTAACACTCGCTGGCCTGCAGGCCCACACATAGCCAGGTGACTGCATGAGGACCATGGAGAATGCCCTTGAACTTTCAGATGTCACTGTCCCATGTGGGGCATCTCTGAATGCCTCCTCTGACACACCCCCAACCCCTGAGGTATCTGAAACAATAGTGGATTTGTTTCCTTAACTATCTGTTTCTTCCAGTGGCCTTCAAGGTCTTTGAGAGCACCAAGCACATCTCTTATTTATGTCTTCTCCACCCAAAACAGTGCCAGGCACATGAGAAATACATGCGTGCCAAATGAATTTTTAAAAAAAGACAAATGAAGGCACAACCATGCCTACAGATTTGCAGGCTGAGATTCTTAGAAAATGAACTTGCTTGACACTCTTCTAATGGTTCCCCTGTGTCCATCACCCACATAACAAAATGCAAGCTCCCTAGCCTGGCATCCGGGCACGTAGTCAGCCCTACAAACCCTCCAGCGTCATGTGTCAGCATTCCTCCCGCGGGGCCTCTGCAGCCCGTGTGCTCAGCCAGCGGCTCCCACACATTGCCATGCATAAGGTGAATGCTGCTGACCTGCCGCCTCCTGGACCAGGGCTCCAGCCATCCCGATTTGGGTGGCATAGGTGGGGTGCAGGGACTGTCACTTTTACAAAAGGTGCTCGGGTGATTCTGATAGTACAGTCAAATTTTGAGGAGCTATACTTCTGCCAGAGTGGACCGTAGGCAACTCACTGAAAGGACCACTCACATTCTCACCTCTATTCCTTTGCCTACATGGTGATTTCTGCTGGAAGGACCTAGGTCCGGTCCCATTTTCTACCTGGAAGTGGCCCACACGTCCTTTAGGCCTCAGCTCCAGTCCTGTCTTCTGTGAATACAGTTTAGCCTACATCAGAGGCACATATCCAGGTTTTGCTATCTAGTGAATTTTGTATATATCTTGCATAGTGATTATTCTGTTTATTTCTGTTTGTGTTATGAACTTTGACACTGTAGCTCCCAGAAGAAACCCTCTTGGTAAGCCCAGGACCCTCAGCCTCCAGCAGAGCACCTTGGTGTTTATCGTAGTAGAGCAAGATCACTGGAGGAGCTCCAGCACTGCCCACCCTTGCTTCCTCCCTCCCTTCCTAACTCTGTTCTCTGTTTCTGACTGCCGGGTCTTTCTAGGAGTTCTCACTCCAGCGAATGGACAGCCTTGTGGATGATCGTGTCAACATCCTAGGATTTTCCATTTTCAACCAATCCCATGCTTTTTTCCAAGAGTTTGCCCAGAGCCTCAACCAGTCCTGGCAAGAGAACTGTGACCACGTGCCCTTCACAGGGCCTGCGGTAAGTGTCCCCAGAGTTCCTCTCTGGTGTCCCAGGTCTCCCTCTGCACACTTTACTGTGGGTTGACTGCTGGGCAGCAGGCCCTCCCAGAGTTCAGCCTTCTCCTTTCTCCAGTGTCAGTTCACAGTGACAGATAGGTGTGTTAGGAAGTGAGTGTGGGATCAGATTCAGGGAGTAGTGGGCTCAGGGCAGCCAGTGGGTTGAGCAGCCAGAGGGACAGGGTCCTGTGGAGGTTCCAAGTTGTCATTTGCTTTTGTCTACAAGTCTCCAGTGGTCAGACTACCCATGATGCTGCTGCTGAGAGCATCTGCTCCCGTGCTCTTTCAGGGGGCCACTCCTCTGTGTAGCTTATCCAGAGGGGCTTCTTTTATGACCTGCCCCCTTGTTTTTGTCCCTATAGTTTACCCCCTGTTGCATACAGCCGACCTCTTATTTATTTATTTATTTATTTATTTATTTATTTATTTATTGGAGACAGTGTCTCACTACACAGTTCGGATTTGTAGTGCTTCTCCTGTCTCAGCCTCCCCAGCACTAGAATTACAGGCGTGCACCATCATGCTCTGTCCTGGGGCCAGCATGGCACTGGGTTCCAGGGCTGGCAGGGCATGTGGTACTGGGGATTAAACTCAGGTCCTTGCACTTGCCCAGCAGGCACTTAGACTGCCAAGCTATCTCCCCAGCCTTTGCTGGTCATTCTTTATTGGGTTGGCCATTCTTATGCTGTTGGGGAGGTCAAGTGTACCTGCTACATCCACTTCTTAAATGGCAAGTTCCTGGGATCTCTGGATTGCTTTGTTTTCTCAGCTCTCTCCTATGTAGGTTCCATATATCATTTTATTGAAAAGGGAAAAAAAACAGCCCATGTGCAGCTTACCATAGCTTTCTGAGATATGTCAGTAACTCCATTTCGCACATGGTAAAATTGAGGTGCATAATGGTTGAGTAGCCCAGGGAAACACACCTAGACCTCATTCTGGAACTCAGGACCTCGCATGTGCCAGGTAGACACTTATACCATTGGGCTATCTTCCTGCCCAGGCCTTTTTGCCATCTTGTCCCTCTCTAGCACCATCATTTTGTCCCTCTCTAGCCATTTTGTCCCTCTCTAGCACCATCATTTCCCTCCAACACTGAATTGTAATTAGGCCCAGGAAAATTAAAGTGCTTAGTAGATATTTTTCAAATGAATGAACAAGTCAGGTAGATGAGCCAGTAAGATAGGGAATGGATTAGCCTCAGAGCTGGCAATGGAATTGGGTACCCTCCTGGAGAGGGAAGTTCTCTGGTGGGTTTATAAAATAGGAACCATACCTGTCTTTGACATGACAGGCCCAGAGGCAAAGTCATATCTAGAAATCTGCACACATGGGTACCTAATTAGCAGTTGGCAACGTGGTTGTCCAGAGTGGGCCTGCTGTGGGTGAGGCATGCGGATTCTGACCTTTCATAAGCCTCTGGGCCTTTGTGATCACATAGCCTGGTGGAAATTTAGGGAAAGAATGGTGATCAATGGGTTAGAGCTGTCAAACCACTCAGGAAGCTTTGGTCCAGGAAAGCAGCCAGAAAAAGAAGACTGGAGAGGAAGGTTTATGAAGCACATTCCAGCAAGTGCTTGGAGACCTGAAAGAGTCAAGAATTCATAGGAAGGATTTGGAGGATAAGGAGGGGTCATCTGGGAGAAGAGGGTTCTCACCACATTAGGTGACTTAGGAAATGGTGAGAGACATCTTCAAGCGCAGTGAACAAGATTAGAGTCTCCCACCAGCAAGAGTTTGGGCTCTCTTCCTCCAGTGGAGCCTGAGGTTCTGTGACACTCCGCCCAGTATTCTAATGAGGCCCTGATGGCGTTGAGAGGCTCACAGCAGTTTGTCAAGAAAGAAGAAATATGCCTGCTTCTCTCCAGCCCCAAATTTACCCCATGTAGCTTCTGGCCAGTGAAAGTAAAGCTTTCTGTGTTACATTCTCTCTCTCTCTCTCTCTCTCTCTCTCTCTCTCTCTCTCTCTCTCTGTCTCTCTCTCTGTCATTTTCTGTTTGTCTCTGTCTCTCGGTCTCTCTGTATGTCTCTGTCTATCTGTCTGTCTCTCTCTGTGTCTTTGTCTCTGTCTCTTTTTCTCTCTCTCTCAGTCTCTCTGTGTCTTTGTCTGTCTCTCTGTGTCTCTGTCTCTGTCTCTCTCTCTCTCTCTCTCTCTCTCTCTCTCTCTCTCTCTGTCTCTGTCTGTTTTTCTCTGCCTCTCTCTCTCATCAGCCTTGCCATTAACACATGCCCAAAAGACCACTGGACTCAAACATCAACTTCGCCATTTTCTTGCTATGCAATTTTAAGTAGTTATCTAACCCCTCTGGGCCTGGGACCCTTTATCTAGGGTATTAGGCTAATTATGGTTGAATATCTTAGAAGATCGTTGAATACATTTTTCTCACAATCTTTATGCTGGGATGAGGCTCAGCGTCAGATAGTTTTGCTGTGTCAGTGTTGTGCAACAGCCAACTGTGAGAGCTCACAAGCACACCGCAGTGTGCATTGGCGGAGCCATTGCTCACCCAGCTCGGCAGTTGTGCTGACCCAGCCAGGGCCACGCAATGAATCTGGGTTGGCTGATGTAGACTGGGCCTGTAGTGTAGCTCTGCTCTGTGTGCCTCCCTGCTTCCCTCAAACCCGCAGAATAGCCTGGAATGTCCTTGTGGTGATGGGAAAAGGCCAGTCATGCAATTGGAAAACACACAAACCTCTGTGTTAGTGAGATTTTTATTGACCCAATTCCTAAGAAAATAACTTAGAAGAAGAAAGACTTTTTTTGGCTCAGGGTTTCTGAAGTTTTAGTCCACCCCTGGCGAGCTTCATTGCTTCTAGGCCAGTAGGGAGGCAGAAGATTGTGGCAGAAGTGTATGGCAAAAAAAAGCTACCCACTTCATGACAGGCAGGAAGCAGAGAGAGTGAGAAGCCACTGAAGGAGGGGCCGGGGCAGGACAGAGCTCCAGGGTCACATGACCGGGACCTGCTCCTGTCAACGAGGCTTCACCTCATAAGTTTCTGTTACTCCCCAACAGTGCCATCAAATTATGATCTCATCAGCTGATGAGGGCAGAAGGCCCGTGATACAGTCCTTCTAGCAAACCCCACTGTGAAGACACCAGACCTTTGGGGGACATTTTAGATTTGCACCGTATCCTCAGAGACCTAAGTCCCCAGAATAGACATAGGCTGGCTTCTTCCACTTCATTTGGTTTGGCAAAAAAAAAAAAAAATAAAAATAAAAAAAAAGGCATGCAAAACCAGAGAAGGAGAAAATGTAGTCTACCCCGCTCAGAGGGCAAAAAGAAATACAGAGTCACATGGTGAAGAGCCTGAATCCCTGAGTACAGGGTGAGCTGATTCCTTGGTGCCCATTACTCAAGTCTGTCAGGACCACAGTCACTGTCCAAGGTACATGTGGGAAGCAAATTCACCTTTCCTTACATGAAAATAGCTCCAGAGTTGTGCTCTTCCTGCAGAAGCAGAGGGAAAGCTCTCTGCCTACAGCTGTGAGAGAAAGCCTTCCTAAAAGTGGGGGAAGAAATATAATCATGAGCCACACAATGATGTTTTGGTGACCTACAGACCACACACCCAACAGTGGTCCCCTGAGATCATGCTGCCTAATGACTTCATAGTCGTCTTAGTGTGTGTAAGGTCACACTGTGATGTTTACACAGTGGCAACATTGACTAATGACACACTTCTCAGAATGTGTTCTTGACCTTTGAGAGATGTACAACTGTGATTTGCTGCTTGTTTTCTGTCTGGAAAGCCCTGGCAGTGTACGCTGTCTCCTGGGAAGAGCAAGGCTCTGGGCTGCTTCACTCTACCAACCTGGAGAGGCTGTCCTGTCCCATAGCAGCTGCCTGGAGCAGTTTAAAACTAGACAATTTAACCTTACCAGTCACCCTCCCAGGCCTGGTCTTGTCTGGACTTCCCAAGGCTTTAGCTTTTCAGACTCCCCAAGGATTTGGGGGGGCTTTGGGCAGCCCAAAGTGCTGGCTCTCTCCTTTATGGGTGTGAAAAATTATGAATACTGAGCCTCAGACCTAAAACTGATCTCTTTGCATGGCTAAAGGCTCTGCTCCTACTTCAGCTGGCCCTAACACCCAGCTCTTTATCTTATTTTATTTGTGGTATTTTACTTCTATATTGGCTGTGTGCCTTAGCCACTGCTCATGAAATTACCTGCCTTGGCCATTTTCCTAGTGACAGTGAGGGGTGGTCTTGCAGCCCTTTTTGCCAGCCGAGGACACTGAGGTACAGAAGAACTAGGTGGCACAACAGGGTCCTCACTTTGCCACAGAATGGTGCAGAGCTCACGTGTATCCCTTGCAGCAGGGAGCTTTCCAGCCATCACCTCTGCCATGGTCTCCAAGGGCGAGTAGAGGTGTCTCGGCTGTCGCCACCTCTAAGCGCTGCAAGGGAACCTCACAGTGCTGGTGGTAGCAGCACACGCTGCTCAAGGCTTCTCACTTCAGCAGCTTACCTTCTGAAAACTGGCCTCCTCCTGTCTTTCTGGGGCCTGAGAAGCTCCTGACACAAATCAGCCAGCTCTTGCATGCCCATGACAGGAAACTGGAAGTTGCGGGAGTCCAGCTCAGGAAAATTCAGCCTAGTTTTGCTCCCAGTGGAGCCTGGTAAAAAGTCTAAACCCGGCTCCTTCCCCCCCGTCCCGGGGGGGCATCTCTTTCCTTCTCCTTCCCTTTCTCACCCCTTTCTTGCCCTTTCTGCTCTCTCCATCTGGGGCTCATCAAAGCCTTGCTTTGTCTCTCCCATATCCTCCTTTTGCTCTTCCCTCTCCCCTTTCCCTTCTCCACATGACCCCATTTCTATTTTTCTCTCCTCCATGCTTCCTGTCTTTCTCCAAACCGGGCATTTCTCCTTTTTCTTCTCCCGGCTGGTGGATGAGTCTCCCTCATCGCTTCCTTTTCCCAGGATTGCTGGCAGAGCTGTCAGGATAGGGCGCTAGTTCGGAGGACAGGAAAAGAGTGGCTGCATGGGAAGCTAGCCAGGTGGCCAGTGGCAGGCTGCAGACCACTGCCTGCCCGAGATGCACGAGTGGAGGAGGGAGCTCTGTGAGCAGAGACTCGCCCACCAGTTTCCTATGTCATTCTCATTAATCACACGACAAAGAATGAAAATCCTGGGAAATCATTAAAATTACAGATGGCTAGATTAAGTAATTAGAATTTAGGGTAAAGCAGATGTTTGTAATTAAGTGTTTATTTCATTGAATAAAATCCAGATTGGAAGAACTATTGCATGAGATTTCTAGTTCCTGCTCCGGCGTATCAAGGGGCAGAGTTTGCGCTCACAGAAGTTTCAGGGCAAATGTGCATCCAGGAAGATCCTGGGAACACACATCTGGGGCTTGGGGAGACAGTGGTTACAGGTGTGTGTCTAGAAGATACTGTTCTTTTCATTTCACGGGAGGGGAAGGGATCCAGCCACAACTCCCAGAGTCAAAATTGATTCATCTTAATTTATACTGAGTCTTTCATTCCCTGAAACAATTTGCAAACAGCTCAAAAGAAAATAACAATGAAGAACCAAATGAAAATATAAAAACGAGAGAATTGAGAGTTCCTTGCCAAACAACATTTTGGAGCCAAGACAGAGGAGAGAATTTTAAATGAGAATTGAGCTAGTTGGGGGATTTAATATTTAGAAGAGACAGGGACAGGAGGAGCAGAGACAAAACCGAGAGGCACATGCACACAGATGGGGAACAGAAGCCTTGGAATGATGCAGGGTGGGGGACCACTGGGGGAGGAGCAGGAAATGGAAGGGAAGGAAGGTGAGGGAGGGGAGGGGAGGGGGAGACTAGCAAGGGCTTGCTCCCACATCCCCAGTGGGCACAGAAGTGGAGACAGGCCTGCAGTGCTTTTGAAACAGACCCACGTTCCCCTGCTTGCAGTCCCAAATGCTTTCCAGAGCTAAATTAGTAAATAATAGCAGAGGGAGAGTGCAATTAGGAGAGCAAAGAGATGCTTCAGAGCAGAGATCTGGAATGAGCCGGGAGACTGATGAGGCAGAACGACTGCACACTGCACGTCCTGGGAGGTGGAGCTGGGTGAGGGGAGGAGATTGGCGCCTGGGTGAGTGGGTTTGAGGAATGGGGTGGGGGAGAAGCTCTTGGAGAAGTGGGGTGAGGACGCAGGTGAGAGCCTGGGTGGACACAGCCAGGCACTGCAAGACAGGTGGCCGGGTGATGGAGGAAGAACTCCTAGGAGATGCACAGAGGGGTAGGGGCATTCAGGCCTTATGAAGTGTCTGCTTGGATCGGCCCAGGCTGGACTGGAGAAGAACTGTGCAGACAGAGCTTCTGGGGACGTGGCGCTCATGCCGCCCGGGGGGAGTGTGGCTGTATGTAGGTGGAGATGAGATGGAGCCTTGACAGTTTTCCCTCCACTTGCTGCCTGGCCCCAGTGGCCTCCGCTAGACTAGGGATTATTGGAAGCTCTCGAAGCATGGGGAAGGCCCCAGAGTTGCTGATGCTAAAAGACATTTGAATTGGCACGCACTCATCCGGCCGCATCCGGATCATGTGTTAATGAGAACATCAGCCAAGAGAGGGGAGGCAGCAGCTACCACGTGGCAGGATTGCATCGGGGAGCCTGGGAGGGTTAGAGATGGCACGGCAAGCTTCTGAGGTGTGTGCAGTGGTGGCAGTCTCTCAGGGACTCACACAGCTTCCCGGCAACTAAGCAGCCTTGGGAGGGACTGTGGCCCTAGCCTCTCTGGGCTTGATCTGACAGTTCTCTGGGAGCCAGGGGATCCCCGGGGCTTCCATGCCAGTTAGCGAGTTTGCAGCTTCCAGGAACACAATTCCTAAGTTAAATGTCTTGTGCAGAAAAGGCAGTGTGCCGGCAGAGTAAGACTCCAGAGTGATGTGACTAGGACTCGGGTTCTTTCCGTCTCTGTCTGGTCACCCTTAGGTCAGCCCCGTGCTCAGGCCAGAGGCAGGGAGGCTGCTGTGGGTCTAAGCATCCTGTTCAGGCAGACAAATGTCCAGAGGAAGAAAAATGACTTGTAGGAGAGGCTCCCAAGGAGCAGGTCCCTCGCTCCAGACCTCAGTTCACGTCTCCTCACTTGTTCTGAATTACATATGGGCAGGGGTTGAGATGACGTGGGTCCCTCTGGCTCATCTGGTACCTGGGGCTGAGCCAGTCTCCTGTGAAGGCCCTGGGAGTGTGGGGGAAAGGATGACACCTAACCTAGCCCACTTGGGGGGAAGAGGAGGAGAGTATGTGCCACACAAGCAGCTCGGTGGCTAATGGTTCTTAACTGAGCTCAAGTGAGAACAGAAACAGTGGGGGGGGGGAGAGGCAAACTTGGTCATGACCCAAACCAAGGGACTAGCAGAGCCAGCCCACCAGCCCTCCCTGAGCCCAGCCACGGCTCAAGTGTCCCCTGCACCCATTTACGCTTAAGAAGGTGACCATGTTAAAAGATTGGCCCAGGTTGTCCTGGGAGACCAAGCACAAAAATGAATCAAATCATCTGGGCCTCTCCAGAGGACCCTTTTGGGCAGTGAGGTAAAATGACCGTCTGCAGGGGCAGGAGGAAACTAGATGCAACAAAGCAGTGCTGGGGGCCAGTTCTACCCTTTTACATTTTGCATGTGACCTCGGGCAAAAGTAAAGCTTCTTGATCCTCCGTTTCTTCATTTATAACATGAGTCAGGCCAATTGATTAATGTGACTTGCAGCTCAAACTCTTGGAGTAGAGGGATTAACTGTGAGGCAAGGAGGAAGGGGGGAAGGAAATTGGGGACAGTATCATTTAAATGGCCAAAGTGAAGGATTTAGAAGCTTCCCCTCAGGTAGATGTTTGTCTAAGCTGAAGAGGGAGAAGCTACCATTCATCGCTCCCGTATGTCCTTTGGGCAAGGGAATGTGAGAGGCCATTAATAATGTAGCCACATGTGCTCAGGAGAAACGAGTTACATGCAGAGGACAAGGACAGTGTGAGTTTGTGGAGTGTTAGCATCAGGTGCCGTGCAGATGAGCCTCAGGTCAGATGGAGAAGGAGCCAAGCATCCAGGGGGAAGGGTGGCGGGGGAGGAGACCATAGGAGGTGACGGATGAAACAAGCTCAGAGGGGCGTGCCTGCTCAGCCCCACTCATGGGGCCCCAGAGGTCACCATGAGCCGATGGCAGAATCTGAGTATCCCGACCTGCTGAGGCTTCAGGTCACAGGTAGATTTGGGACCAGGAGACAGAGAGGAGGGCAGAGCAAGCTGGGAAGGCAGGAGACTCCGTAGAGGTACAGGGGACTCTGGTGCCTCCTGGAGTGTGTCTGGCTGTTGAGAATGACTGTTGTATCTGCTGAGTGGCAGGGGCTGAATACAATGGGAAGAAGGAAAAGAAAAAAGGAAGGAAGGAAGGAAGGAAGGAAGGAAGGAAGGAAGGAAGGAAGGAAGGAAAGAAGGAAGGAAGGAAAAAACAAAGGGAGAGATAGAATAAAAGCAGGAAGAAGGGAGACACATGCCAGGTGGTTTTGTGATGCAGATGAATTTGGACTAGAGCAGAGAAACTTGGCTGTGTCTCCTACTCTTCTCGTCCCATTCCAAGCAGGAGTGGGGTCTTCTGTATCTCTGGGCCTTGACGTTGCCACATACATTAGCCCGCCCATCAAGTTGAAGAGTGTAAATTAGACTTCAATCCGACATCTAGGAAGAGGCAATATCCTGGGTCTTCTAGGAGGAAGTGGCTTCCAGCTGGGGTTGATAGAATGGGCAAATTGAGGAGAGGGCTCAGGTTCCTGCCCTCTCCTGAGGCCAGCAGCTCACCCAGAGAGGCCAGCAAGATGCCCAGTGTCATTCCACACACGGAAGGACTAGAGTCTGAACTTGGTTGGGGTTCTGTTTTCAGGCCTTTCCTCTTGCTCTGCTGTGTACACTCAGCCTGAGACACTTGAGAAAACCCAAGATGACCTCCAACCCTGCAACATCCAGGGTCCCGGAGCTCAACTAGATGGGGGGACAGGTTGTGAGAATGTCACACAGAAGAGCACTCTGCCCACCCCACCCTCTTCTCAGAGATTCCTGGGCATGGTGGAAGTTGTTCTTTCTCTGGGAAAAAAAGATGAACTTGAAATAATTTGGAGCCCTGGAGGTCATTTGATGCTTCAGTCCCAAAGACAATTCTACAGCCATTGTCTGTCATAGAGAAGTACCTGGGTTGTTAGCAGAAGGAGGGTGAGTTGAGACACAGTGGACAGGAGCAATTGAGAGTCAGCCTTGCTCTTCTTTTGATTTGCTTTTTCTTTTTTCCTCCGGGAGTCCTCGTTTTCCCTCTTTCCCCACCTCCCCCACCTTTATGTACACTTTTCTTTTTCTTATTTCCTCATTCTGCCTGTTCTCTGCCTCCCCCAGCTGTCCTCGGCCCTGCTCTTTGATGCTGTCTATGCCGTGGTGACAGCAGTACAGGAGCTGAATCGGAGCCAGGAGATGGGTGTGAAGCCCCTGTCCTGTGGCTCCGCCCAGATCTGGCAGCATGGCACCAGCCTCATGAACTACCTGCGCATGGTGAGGAGCGCCCGAGGGCCTGTGGCTGCCCGGCCTGATAGGTGGGACACTTGGTGCAACAGGACACAAGCGCCCCTCCCCTCCAGGATTCTCCAGTTCATTACAGCCCCAGATAAAATTCATCTGTGTTGATCCCAGTTGAGTGGGGCATAGTCCCTACTCTCTGACACCCAAGAAGAATCCATAGCAAGTTTGCTCCTGTGAAAGTGGCTCGAAAGGATCCCGAATTCCGGGCATGCAGCTAGCCTCTGCTGCACTGTGATCCTAGCAAAACCTCTAAATACTTGGGGGAAGGTCCCTGCTACTGGTGCCTGTGATCCCTTCAGGAGTTACAGGCTCCGATCTTCTGGCTGAGTGCTAACTTTCCCCATAACTCCCCTGCCTAGCTGAGAAGAAGGCAACTCTTGTCAGAGAGACCTGGTATAAGCAGTCTTGGAGTTCACATTTGCAGTCAGATATAGGGACACCCTGACCTCCTGCAGACCTGGCAGTGGGGTTAATCAGATTCCCAAAGACAATAAATCTTGTTGGCAGTCACAGGCCTAGGTGAAGGGCAGAGGGAGATCAGAGCCCAAGTTAGCATTGTTATTTGTACTGGCCTGTGCAGGGGCTTTGGAGTATGGGCGAGCCTAGATGCTGTGGTGGAGGGTTGGACAGGAGAAGAGATCCGGATACCTTTTCCTCTCTTAGGCCTCCCCAAGTACCACGTGTGTGGTGCACTTGCTTGGGGCCAAGGGAACATGAGGCCTATTTGGTGCTGTAACTCACTCTCTCTTGGACAGGTAGAATTGGAAGGTCTCACCGGCCACATTGAATTCAACAGCAAAGGCCAGAGGTCCAACTATGCCTTGAAAATCTTGCAGTTCACAAGGAATGGTTTCCGGCAGGTAAGCCTAGCTGTGCCATGTGGGTAAAGGGCTCCTCCTCTGCATTCCTTTTTTCTGTCCCTAGCACCTTTCTTCTACTCCTTGGTTTTCAGGATGATCTTCTGTTGTCAGTTGTCCTCCAGGTCTGCAGGCTGCACCCTGGGCAAGCCTCCTGGCCGGTGTTGGCCTCCCTTGTTGCCACCAGCTCAGCCAGCATAGACACTTCCAATCTTACCAGAACACTAAAAAAAGAGCAAACGTACTCTATGAGTGAGGGAGGAGACAAGGGTGGCATTTAAGGAAGGCTTTCCCAGCTCTTGTTTATTCCTAGGATCATTCTGCTCCTTGAATCTCACCCTATCCCCAGAGCCCTGAGGACTACAGGGAATTTACTGATAAGGCACAATTGTCAGCTCTTCTCCGGCCAACCCTAACCCCCTACTCCCTGTGCCAGTCACCTCCTCCTCTCCTGTCTGTTACCTGTCCGCTGCTGTCATCTTAGGCATGGTTTATCCTTCGCACCTGCTTCCAGCTCCCTAGTCCTTTTGTCACGTCTCCCCCGCTAACCTTACTGTTCTTCTTTTCTGTGGTTCTCTTCCATCAGAAGAAGCAGGGATGCTGATAGCCTCTCCAGATGTTTCTCTGAATGTCTCTTGTCTTCCCCATCACCATAGTAATCACCTTCCTTTATTCGCAGTCCTTCTCCAGCCTTACAAAGGGCTGGGAATGGGGAAGTCGGCACTAATTACCTTGGGAAGCAGGCATGTTGAAGAGCCTCCTGTAGATCGTGGTGGCTGGACAAAGGGAGTGAATCTCATGCGGGGATTGTGACGCCCCTTCCTGCAGACAAGGAGGAGCCATTGCCTCCATCTTCACCGGCCACTGCCATCTTCATGATCATCATCATTACCATTATCGTAGCAACCCAAATTTATAAGTCACTTGCCGTGAGCCACACGTCACGTTAGATGTCATGTGTACCTTCTTGTTTAACCCTACGAAGCAGGTACATTTTATTCATTTCCTCATTTTAATGAGGCTTTTGCTGAGGCTCGGGGAGACTGAACAACTTGGGCCATGAAAGGCAGAGCTAGTTTCGGAGTTAACCGTATCTCTACTCTAAAGCCCAAGTTCTTACCCATTAGGGCAAATTATACAACAAGGTCACCTTGTGAATTTGTTAAAACTATTGTAGATTCTTAGACTCTGTCCCTAAGTCTGGTTGGGTGAACTGAGAATTTGACCCTGCAATGTGTTGGGTCATCAGGTACCAGGGTAGCTCTGAGGAAACCCTGCACCGCAGAGGCCTATCATGTGTCCCTGGCTGCTGTATCCCCACACCCCATGGGCTCCTCTCAGCCCTTCCTATGAGGCTAGCATTGTCGTGTGGCTGTGTTGGCAAAAAGACCATATCACCCTTCCTGGAAGAAACCAAGGTAAAAGGGAAGAGTCTCAGACAGCGGTCGATGACCCCCAATCACTGGTGTTGACTGGCATCAGCTCCTCCAAGCTTTGCACCAGAGCTCCATGATCTCTAAGCAGCCACTGTAACCATGCTTTTTGGTATCTTTGTAAACAAGAGCCAGGTCAGGTGGTCAGCCAGGAACCATAGGAATAGGGTACCACAAATTGGTCCTTTCATCTCACAAATCGATTACATGATTTGTGGCATGCATCAGGCACTGCATGTGGTGTGCACCAGGTACTGCTCTGGATCTATGGAAAGCAAGCTGAAGACATTTCTGCATTGAGCAGATCATTGTCTGGGGAGGGAGAGTGAATTGAGAAAAAAATAGCTGCAATATGGGGTTATTAGGCTTGAATCGTGCCTTTAGGCTCATTACTCCTTAAATAAATAAGCTGCCTGCCCATAGGGAATTTGGCAAGTAGGCTTTTCCCTGAGCCCAGCATGCCCAGGGGTAGTAAAGAATATTCATTCATTGTTTCCAGAGATATTGTGGAGCACCTTTTTGTGCTGGCCTCCCTTCTCAGCATAGGTTTTTAAAATGGAAAAAGTCTGAGTTTGTGAGCACATATTCTAGTAAGGGACAGATAACAAACAAATATGTGTGTCACATCATGTCAACAGTGATCAGCACACTGTGGAGAAATATAGCCAGCTGGAAAGGAAAAGGGATAGAGAGAGAATAGTGGTGGAGAAGTAGCTCTGTTTGGAGTCCTTCTCCAACCTTAGGAAGGTCACAGTGGTGGTGAACCTGTGGCACACCTGCCACAGCAGGCTGTTAAAGACCTGAGATGTTTGCCATCACTGAGCTGGGAGAACTTAATGTTCATGCCAACCCCATGAACAAAAGCCAAATTCCAAACTTTGAAATATTCCCTTAGACCTCAGTCTTGGTCTCCCTGAGATCCTGGGAAAGAGCCCACTTCCGGTGCCCTTCTGTCTAGGAACACCTGCTGTGGCCCTCACTCCACCCTCCTCTTGCGAAACAGCTGAAAGCTCGAAGTTCCTCTTCACTTAATTATGCTTCTGCATTCGTTGCTGCTCTAGCTATGCTTCTGCATTTGTTGCTACAAGGCCATAGGATTGCCTGAGTCATTAAGAATAAACAACATCGCACTCCAGCACCAACCCAAGCCCCTAGCCCAACCCAGCCAGCCAGCCAGCCCTGAGGTCTTCTCGGCAGTGGCTGCCAGCCCACCCTCATCCACACCATTAGCAGTGTAGCCTAGATGTAAGTGTACACAAGAATGACCTGTGCTGCTTGCTTTAAAGAGCACATTCCCAAGGCTCTGCAGTGATTCATTATATTAGTAAAATTAAATATATTCCAGGAATCCACTGTGTTTAGCTGGAGCCGGTAGGAATGATGGGAATATGGTAGTTTTCAGATTACCTTTTGATAAATCCTACTCTACAAGTATGTTGGTAAGCTTAGCCTCCATGAGTAGGAAGAATCTTGTTTGACCTTCCTGAGCCCTGCCCCCATTTCATGGCTAACATTAAATGGAATCTGCCACATGAGTGACCATTAAAGAAGATGGTATTTCCAACCTTCAGCTGCCCTAAGGGATGCACTCCTGACTGGGCTGGTAAAGTGAGTGGCAGAAATTCTCTTTATGACCCATTTATCTTCAGCAACTCTGGTGAGTGTCCTACTGCTTTCCCGTCTGGTTCCGGCGCTCTGTGCACCAAGTGGAGAGTGTACGCTGCGTCCTGAGCACAGATGTAGCTTCGCAGAACAGGTCCCCAGGTCCCATTCCAATCAGCGCCCAGCCTTTGCCTCTTGACAGGTGTCCTTCCCCTGCTTATTGCGTGGTGGAGAGGTGGTTTAGGGGGTGATAATTAATTGGGCTTCTCATCCATGGTCAGAAGAATGTCAGTGTCTCTGCTATCGCATTCTCCCAGCTCTACCCAAGGTGATGCTGGCAGGGAAGGGGAAGGTGACAAGGAGCGGGGAAGCATCTTTGGAGCACCTTGTGAGTACCAGACACCACACAGCCCTTTGTTCAGAGCACTGCCTGTGTCAAGGACAAGACACCAAGGCAGGCCAAGCACCATTTCACCAATAAGAAGACTCAAGCTTGGGGGAGGGGCAAAGAGCTTGGCCCAAGTCCCACTTCCAGCAAGGATTCCACCAGACTGGGATTCATGCTCAGGTCTGTCCCATTGAAAATCCTGTGCTCTTAGCTCTCCCACTCTTGGACTTCCCTTACTCCCCTAGCACCCCTAAGCCCCCAAATGAAATCCTTCTCCAGGGCTGTTGTTTGCCACCACCTGCAAACCAGGAGGCTCCGGCTTCTGAAGACCTGCGGGGCTGGGCTTTCTTTAGTAATGGCATCTTCTCATTTGGATTTGGTTTGATTCTTTCTCTTTCTGTCTGGACTAGTAACTATTAAGAGCTAGTTTTGATTATTTAGAAAGCACCATGCAGGGACCCAGTGGGTTGTAATTGGTGAAATGTCTGAACCAAATACCATGTTCCCTGCTGGTGGCTGATTAAAGGATTATTACCATGTTAAAAATAGTCTTTTAGGACTCAGGAGGGTTTTTTTTTTACCATTTAAAAAATTACTATTTTGTTTCTGCTTGGAGAGTGTTTTACATCTTGGGGTTCAATAGAGATTAGACTGGAGCATGTTGGGGGAAAATGTCTCCATGATGTCCTCCTGTACGTGACATTGGGAAACTGGACCATTTCCAGTTATTTATTTATGAGCAGAGAAGTTGGTGATATTACCTTAGCTCACCTCTCCACTTCTCTTGGATGAGATCACCCTTCTCCTCCCATATTTCCCCCTCTTATCCTCCAAAGATCTCCTGGATAATATTAGAATGTTGTTGACTCCCTTCCTGATCTAGAAGTCCTCTTTGAAAGGCTAGGAAAAGAGAAGCATAACATTAGAAGTCATTTAATTTCTTTCATTTAACTTGGTCTAAAGATCAGAGATTCTGAGCAGCCCCTGAGCGACATTGTTAGTGTTGTAATAAAATGAGTACACCTTTCATCTGAGGATCGGAAATGGCTTAACGGGCTCTAATGAAGCCTTCGGGGTTTGACATCCCTAGCTAAAGATGCTGGTCTACCCTGTTTCTGTTGATTCACTGTATATTGCGGAGGTACCTCAGTTTGCTTCCTGTGTATGATGAAGATAGTAGGCCCTGCTTTTTGGCCTGTCTGGGTCTGAAGATTACTGATAACAGGTTTGCCTGGCATCCCTTGCTGACTGCCTATGATTACATGGAAGGCTGGTTCTACTGATATAAGAATAGCGACCGTTCATTGCCTTCTGCATGGTGTACCATGTTGAGTGGTAAGCATGCATATTTAAAACGTCATATCCTTTTATCAACTCAGCATAAAAGCTCCTCTCTCATCTTGTAGGTGAAAAATCTAAGGCATAGAGATAAAAAAATATATATATCCACCATCATACAGCTGATGAGTGGCAAACTCAAGAACCAAACCTGCTACTCGTTTCTTCAAAGTCCACAGCCTTCCCATTATGCAAAAATTGCCCCAGGCTATATTGGAAGGGACCTTCAAGGCTTTCCATTT